AATAATATGATCAATGGTCTACTTGCAGAATGATAGCTTTACCTAACCATACATATACCTGTGGTATACCAGGTAATATGGCAACCATCTCCAAGCACTTGCAGGTGGAGGACTCCAAGTTAAAAAAATCTATATAGATCATCAATAGCAGAGGCTAGTAAAAAGGCAACTATAAAAGGATCTTGCCAAATGGAGTCTGACAGTTAATAGCACTTGGCAAAACAGTAATTACTAAAGGCTATTTTATGTCACAGCTTCACTGCTACTGACATGAATGTGACACATTCCATTTTAGGATAACTATCTACAGAAGTGCTGAGATCATACCCCACGAACCACAACAAATCCATGAACTACACTTTCAAACACAGGTTACTCTCTCGTTTTGCTGGTCCCTGGTGTATTATACACATCTGAAATTTGCAGGATTAAGCAATAGGGACCTTCATTGGCCATTTCGTGCTTCTTATCTCCCTCCAAAACATAATAAACTTTATATAAACGGATGCATACCTGACCTGTTCTCTAGAAACTAAAAACAGAGCCTCAACTTTGACAATCTTTCTTGGTGCTTAAGGGGCTTGTTTGTAAGGCATCTACCACAGTGTCCCTTTCTAATGTTTAAGTATACTGGTCCCAGACCAGCTTTCATTGGTGATTAAAAATAGTTTACTGCTTTATCCATGACAAAGCTACATTAGCATTCAAAATATTTGGTAGATATTAACAGAGAAAAAACACTTAAGTCTTGCTCTTGCAAACATAAATTGATGTCACAAGTCACTATTACGGGACTCAGAATTTATTTTCTTCCTTTATCATTTTCTGTCCTATTTCCACCTCTACCTCCTTGCAACAGCTATGACAGCTGGCAGTTGCTTTGCTGGGCCTTATTTACCTCAGTGATATGATACAAAATGTGGTGCTCTGATGCCTTCATTCAGCCTACTGGGGGATCTGGCAGTACCAATGAAAGGCAGAGGGTAGGACCACGTTCCTGAGAATGGGGAGAAGCAGCTACCTTTTTTTTATGGTGGCGAACTATTAACATTGGCTCCTTATTTCATGAAACTGGAGCTTCCACTACTTAACCACATCAAGCAACCTTGTTAAGACCCTCTCATGACAGCTTCCCTAGTGTTAAATCTTGACAATAATCTAGTAACTGAGTGAAGCAGCTCACTCAGGGAGGGAGAAGGTTTCTACCAGATCACTGAGCTGAACTGATCTGGCTAGGAAGTTGGTGGATGTGTGGAGAAGGAGGCAGAGAATAGAAAGCAAGTAAGCAGAACTTGCTTGCTTGCTCATTAACATATCATGAGAAGTTTAAAAGCCTACTCCTGCTAAATTATGTTGTACCATACCTTTTGCTAGTTGTGAGACTTACCAACATGTATCCACTATGAATGAAAAGCCAGAATGGAATAATTTCTGACCTAAGTATTTTCAGACTTACTCCTTTTTGATGTCCACAGTCCACATATGATAATATAATCTAAATTTCTAAGTCATTATAGAAGAACAAGCTCAGAAAAGAGACACCACCAATGGTTTTATTAAAACCAAAATTATGCAGTGCTTTCAACTCTTGCATTCTGCCAGTAAGCAATTCGCACATACAGAAAGCTAATGAACAGTTTCAAGTGTTTACTCTTAAATAATTTTACAACCGATGACAAACAAACAGTTCTAATTCCCAAAGATGTAAACATTTGCTTGTGCAAATCAACTTTTAACACACTATGGCTTCTTACATCCATCTCTTGCAACATTATCAGCATCTAAAATCTGCTTCTGCACCATAAACTTAACACTATTCTATTGCTCTAAAAATAAGTTAAAACCATCCTGCCATATTAAGATAAAAACATTTTACTGCTCACAACTGAAAATACTTGGTGCCTACTGCAGAACACATCGCTGGATGAAGTTCTAAGACTTTTCACTTCTTGAATGAACTGCACATTTATTTTGCCTGTGTTCCAATAATTCTCCAGTGTGTACATATGTCAAAATATGATTTACTCAAGGAAAATACGCTCCCAATTTACTCCAATAAGAAATAAAAATACACTGCTGCAAAAGAAGTAGAGCTGGTGTAAGGTCTTAAGTGTACAATACACTAAAAACTTAAAGTTTTAAGTGTATGGTAGCACTACTTTAAGTACACTTAAAACTAAGCAGTAAATTTAACTACCAATACACAAGCATCAAGACATTTTCTTTCATGTCTGTTAGCTTTGTTTTAAATGTCAGAAATTTTTTAACTTGGTACTTAGTCTAAATATTGAAAAAATTCTGGGAGATGCAGCATGTTTTCAGAAGCTGAGATAATCAAGTAAGGGATCTAACAAAAACATTTGTAAAACCAAGTTATTTTTGGTTTAGATGTCAATTTCATTTGGGTGAACTAACATTTGCAAAAGTTTCAGTAAATGAAGAAAACATCAACTGTTATTTGTACAAGTTTATGACTCATACAGTTAAAAAAATAAGATACAAATAGAGCTAAAACAATAATCATACAAATTTAGATTTTCCAAAAGTTAACCAAGTTACAATAAGGCAAATTAACCATCGTATTTGATCTTATAAGTCTACAGGTTTCGCAGCTGGTAGCAGTTTCACTTTAGATATTGGATTCTTTGGAGAGCCTCTATAACAAACTCTTTCTTTTCCCGGAGCACCTCTTCCAATTGTAGATTTTTCTGGAATATTTATATTTACATTAACTTTTAAATTGGATTTCACCATTTTGTGATTGGTTAGATCTTCTAGAACAGACTTTGATGAATGAACAGTCACTTTCTGTTCGTGGATTCCAGCAGTTCTGACAGAAACATCAGGTTTGTCTGACGGATTTAACAGCCTGACACATGATTTGGATGGTAAGTCTAGCTGCTTATGAGATACACAAACTTGGTCATATGTACTTTCACTCCTGAGTGGCAAAGCCACAGAACTTTTTGAGGGCTTGTCTGTGCAGGACAATAGTGCAGAATCATAGCTCAAAGATTTAACAAGTGGTGAACCAACATCACTCACTTTAAGAAGCTGAGTGCTTACAGATCGTCTGTTAGCCTCCAATAAGGAATTAATTCTTCTTACAGACTGTCTAACAGGAGTACGTTGAAACTTAAGAGGTGGTTTAGTTTTGCTTACAGAACTCAGATCATTTAATGAAAGCTTGTTAAACCATTGTATGTGGTCAGAAACCTTTCCATGGTCAGAAACAATTGATGGTTTAGTTAAAGTTTTATCAGAATTTTCAGCTTGCAAGTATTGTTTGCCAACTTCATTTTGGGATTTGGGCAACTGTGAAGTAGGAAGCTGTCCAGCCACAGGAAGTTTAGCAGTACCTTCTTCCACATTACAGCATTTTACCATAGAGTTTTCAGCTGTTTGTGAGTGCGTTAATTCTATTTCCTCTTTTCTTCCAAAGGTATCTAATTTGTTTAAGTCATCTTTTGATGAACTGTTCTGAACAGCCAGCTTATGTTCCCTGGCAAGTACTTGCGGAAGTTCTGTTACATTTTTTATATCTGGCTTCAGGGCCTGAAGTTCAATCTCAATAGAAGTTTTGAAGTTTTTTTTCTCCAAAAGTTTAATTTCATCTTTTTTTGATTGCTGTTTATCAACAGCATAAGATTGATTAAATTGGTATGACAGCTCTCTGGATTTTGTATTTGCTAGATGTTGAGAAACTTCTTCAGCTAACAATTCTTTCTTTGGACTGATCCCACTGACACACAAGGTTTCCTTTAATGTTTCATCTGCTACATCTGAAAAGGAAGACTTTGTATCACCTCTCAAATTGTGAAGATTACTTCCAGATGCAGAGAAAGCTTGCTTAACTTTCAGCAATGTTTCTGCAGTCAGATTACTTTCCTCTTCACAAAGTTGCAAGCTGTTGTCTTGTTTGCTTGCAGCTGTGGATTTGAATTCACCTGGAATTACTGGTGGCTTTCCAAATATCAAAACAGATTCTGAAGAACTGATTCCCGTTTTAGGGTGTCCTGGCAGAATCCCCTCATTTTGGCTGATCAACTGAGAATCTGCAACAGTAGGACTATTCCATGACATTCGATGAACTACTTTATTGTGACATTTTGGAGTTAGCAAGTTTTCTTCTGACTTGCTCACAGTCTTTGAACCTTAAAATAAATATCATAGTGTTTAAGAATACTATCTCATGATTGTAATATTGTAATGATTATAGGCAAAATTCTTGCTGGAAAACCTGAATTATCAAAGCAGCACTGAATTTAAAGATGCTATTGCTCCTTTAAGTTTCGGAGATGCAGAAAAAAAAAAAAAGATTGTAATATTAAGAACTGAAATCACATATCTCATCTTGCTTAACAAGAGAACTACTAAATACACTAGAAACACAAGCTTGTCCTAAACTGATTATTTTTCTCCAGAAGCCATTAACTTTTATTCATAAAGTTACTTCTGGGAGAGAGAGGGGAGAAAAAAAGTTTTCCCCATCTAACACATTCTGTTAGATGCTTACCTTTCTTAGGGAATTTTTCACTGACACACGGGCTGAAGAGCACATCTTTTTTCGCAAATTCAGTTCTGCTTTCCAAACCTTGTTGACTTGCAAGACGCCTTCCAATATTTTCAGATCTATTACCAACTGCACATCCTGATACAATATTCTTGAACAAAAGGCATTCATTACTTTCATATAAACTTGTAATTTGGAATCTCATTTACAGAGGAACTTTCAAGGAAAAGGCTATGTAAATCAGCCATAGCAGCCTTTTCTTGGCTACACTTCATCTTCCCTTGATTCTCTGTAGACCTGGGTAGGGAACAACCCACCTGCAGTCAGGTAGGCTTAACTACACTCTGAACATAGTGATTCTATGCATAGGCTCTGCAATATTAGAATTTCAGAAACTGAGACCAACTGATCACAAGTGTGTCAAATCAATCCCAGCTAGTAATTTCCCATTCAGCCACTTGCTCATTCCCTCCACTCTCCAGCAGTATGATGGAGAAAATTGGAAAGGCAAAAGGGGCAGGGGAAACAAAACCATCCCTACCTCCCAAAAAGACCCCCACCAAACAAAAAACCCCCCAAACTACAAAATCCACAAGTGACACAAAAGCAGTCACTCATGACATTTAGACCAATGCCCACCAAACCCTGAGTAGTGGCTACTTTACCAAAACTCCCCCCATCCCAGTTTTATTGGCGAGCACGACACCATTATCGAACAGTTCCTTGGTCGGCTCAAGGTCAGCTGTCCAATGTCTCCCCTCCCCTAGCCAAACCCAGAACAAGCTGAGCAGTTACCACTATGAAACTAAACCTAGAGTTTCTTGTCCTTGATAGCAGGTCCTTCCTGATACTGAAACTGCAGTGCCCAAAACTTGGGATTAAAATTTGCACAGTAACAAGACAACTAGGTTAGAAGCAGAATACTTACCATTTCCCTGTTGCTTTTTCCCAAACCAAACTTCAAGCGTAACGACCTACGAACCATTTCTTTTCGGCTAATCTTTGGAGAAAAACAACCTGTCTTTCCTGATTCAGCCCTGGGAAGACAGAGGAGAAGAAGTGACACTAACTCTTTAGAAGGGCAATGAAAACATACTGACACTTATTTATGGCTATTTCCTCTAGTTCTACCTCTTCTATTGCCTTCTTGCCAGGCTTTTCTAATAGGCACAAAAGGATACTTTACCAGATCTTTTGTTTTGAGCTCCATTTTGCCACATTAGAAGATCTGGTGATTTTAAGATATTACAAAAATTTGGTATGTTTTGAACACCAAACAAGATTGAGATTTTACACATCATTAATCAAGGGCTCTAGACTTACCTTTACAATTTATCTTTAGTTTGAGAGTTAAAGCAAATTACCTGTATAATTTTTTGCTTGCATGTCTTTTACTTCTTCTGTTCCCTGTACTAGACAAATGATTTTCACCAGCAGTTGAAGGAGACAGTGAGGTTTGTGATGACTCAAGACACACACAAGGGCTTGCTTCAAAATGAACTACAGGAACAAAACCATATTTACATGATCTTAAAATAGTCACTTTTTTTTTTTTTTCAGATAAAGACTTAACAGTTAATACAATAAGGAATAAGTTTTTAAACAGCACAGATTTGTTTGTTTGTTTTGTGGAGTGCTGGCTTGAAATTATTTTGACTTCCACTTTTCTTTAATATTAAACAAAGCTGTTGCTTGTAGCATCCATAGAAGCAGCTGGATTGTAATCAATTGCATGCTACTGATATTACTACCTCCATTATATTTCCACACTGCTATCATCAGATCCTCAAACTCATCCTCCTAAGTTCCTCAAACTTAAGAGCTTAATAAGAAAAATTAGATTCAGTCTTATTATTTGCAGTGTGCTTTTTTTACATACCTAGCTAGAACAGTTAAAGAAACAACAAATGAAAGAGTTGCTATTCTACTAAACGTTTTTTTGTGAAACAGATGCACTACTTCTCTCTTTAGGAAGTGTCATTGATTTAGTTTGCTTATCCATAGAAATAAGAATTTCATGGTGAGCATGAAATGGTTTAATAAAGCAAAGCAATTCTCAACTGAGTTAAAACAAACCCTGATCTTCAGGCAAATCAAACATAGCCAATCCAGAAATTTCTTTTTATTCTGACTTCAGTTGGCATCACATTCAAGAATCAAACAAGAATAAAACAAGATTTGCAGAAGAGCCTGATACTTGGAAGCACTCTAGTAGAATGAAGTGGTATTAAAGCATTGTCCAAAGTATTTTTTTTCCCCTATAGATTGAGGGTTTTTAGGATCTAGAGAAAACGAGAGGTGATTGGATTCAAGAAAAACTTTTATAATGGCATCAATTACATTTCACTTAGAGCCAGCTATTTAAGTATTTAGGAGAGAGAAGAGTACAACTTTCAAAAGATTGGAAGCATAGGCAGTCTTCATGGATTTGTGTGCTAAGACATAAACACAAGTATAACCTAGGTGACACAGAGGGACTGAAAAAAATAAAAGGGCATGAGGATGGCAGATTTGAAGGACTAATAAAACATAAAATAAGAAACAGATTTCACTTATGCTCAATCCATGTAACATAACAGTCAGTGATGAACATAAACACAGACTATTCACTAAGACAGCGAAGTAGTGCAAAGAGCACTGTTAAGTGAAGTTTATCAATGACTGCCTAACAAGAATAAAAGGCAGTACATTTAAAAGCCATAAGCAACCTCTTCAAGCAGCACAGAAGAAGTAAAGGCACTGTACCTGACGCTGGTGTTGAGCTGCTGGTGAAAATACTACTTGGTAACAACTCAAAAGCAAAACTATGCTTTAAAGATCGTCTCTTCTTGCTGGACAAGCCCTGAGAGCAATCAGCTGGAAGTTTACGTTTGGTACTTGGAGTAAGAACCAGCGGAGTCACGGACGAAAGGACTGAAATTAAAAAAAAAACACCCAAATTTGCAATAACAACTTAAAATGTTGAGAGCTTACTAGAATATAAACGGGTTTGTTTTGTTTGTTTTTTAACTCTGAAAGAGTATTACTGTAAAAGCTCAGCCAAAGTGCATGCATTTTGAACAGGCAAAGCAATCAGTATAGCTTAGGGGTTGTTTTTATTTTGTTGTTTTGTTGCAAAGTAGAGTACCAGCAAGGAAAATCCAAACCTACACATTAACAACATAATACAGGTATAAGGAGGGGGAAAAAAAAGTACATATTATATTAGGTATCTTATGTAAGTTTAAGAAAGATTAGAAGTGAAAGAATATCAGTCCTGGCAAATTCCTAAAATGATAAAATGCTGCACTACCGTCTTAGCGTGCATTAGATGAAAAGCGCAAGTTCAGTTCTGTAATTCTAGAACTGTGCACCCACTGCTGCAATGATTGTAGCTGCTCCAAGAACTACAGTAAATGTAGTATCCTCAATAAATATGTATCTCTATTCAAAGATTTAAACTACTTAAACATAATCACTTATCTTCAACTAAGTTCTAGTTCTTCAGTTAAAAAAAAAATAAAATTGTAGAATATAGTTGACAAATCCAGAAGATACTGCATAGGCTTTATTTAGTACAAATACACCAATACCTACCGCTGCTGTCTTGTTGCGGTGTAGTGGAAGGTGTTCTGTTAGATTTAAATTTATTCAATGCTCCACTAACAATATCTGAAATGCAAGACACACCGAGGAATCAAATTTAAATACAAAGTTTGTCTTGCTCTATTTTCAACTCAAGTTTAACTTGTATTCTTTCAGTGAGAAAAGCAAATCAGTTTTAATGCTTGTTTTACATAAGAAAACTATCATAGAATAGTTAGGGTTGGAAAGGACCTTAAGATCATCTAGTTCCAACCCCCTGCCATGAGCAGGGACTCCACACACTAAACTATGTTGCCCAAGGCTCTGTCCAGCCTGGCCTTAAATGCCTCCAGGGTTGAAGCATTCACAACTTCCTTGGGCAACCCATTCCAGTGTCTCACTACCCTCACTGTGAAGAACTTCTTCCTTATATCTAATCTAAACGTTCCCTGTTTAAGTTTAAAGCCATTATCCCTTGTCCTACCACTACAGTCCCTAACGAAGAGTCCCTCCCCAGCATCCTTGTAGGCCCCCTTCAGATACTGGAAGGCTGCTATAAGGTCTCCATGCAGCCTTCTCTTCTCCAGGCTGAACAGCCCCAACTTCTGTTTTCCTTAAGAAAAAAAAAAACAAAAACAAAACAAACAAAAATCATGCACGTATGATGGAAGTTTCTTGTAAAAAATTCTACTGGTCATTATAAAATTATATGCCTTGTGATTTCTTGTAGCCAAACCCAGCAGGTATCCATTCAAGTCTTCCTCAAAGTCTCAGCAACTTTCTTACTTTACTAGACAGTCATCTTGAAGCCGAAAAGCTCTTAGAGCTTTGGTGTTAGGCCCAAACAGAAGTATGAAAGTAACATACAACTTTTTTGTGAACTGTGTTTTTGTTTTGGGGAGTTGTTTTTTTTTTGAAGGCAAAATTAAACCCAGCAGAGTATTTTACCCAGCATGAAGTTTTATGTCTACCCTGCTTTTAAAAGTATAAAATAGAAGTATTTTTATTAAGTGGTATTGCAACCTGCAGTCCTAGCTCATAGCAAATCTTAGCAAACAAGCCCGTGGTCTTTCTTTATGGTGTCTAGTAGCTATCAGGCAGTTTAAAAACTCAGCTGTGAAAAAGTAAAGTGTAACGCTACTATGTTTTACTACATCTGGAGAAAGAGTAGAAGCTGCCTACTACCAGAACCTATTCCACAGAATTAACAGATTCTAACTGCTTCTCCTCAAAATTTTAACATTCACAAATATTCATAGCTTTGCAACTCCAGGATGATGTCCCTTCTTCAGAGTGGAAAAGCCTATTACACACACACAGACAAGGGGGGGAGAGGAGGGGAAATAGCAGCCTTGGCTAAATATATACAATAACAAAACTTTAATTTAATTACTGTCATGTTTAATATTCCATATATACAATAATAAAACCTTAATTTCAATAACTGTCATGTTTAATATTCCAGGCACATGAGCTAAATACATACTGATATTTTATAACAATACATACAAGATCAGTGTTATAGTGGATTTGAAGTCAAGAATATGTGTTCCATAGTACTTCTTCAAAGAAAATGCAGAACAGAGAACATACCGTTTGATCGGCCATATTTGGCAAAAGAAAGAAACTACTGAATAGCTAAACTGAAAAACCAAAAAACCCACACCAAAAAAACAGAACCCCAAATGAAACCATACAGATCCATATCAGAGAACACAGTATCAATATCCAATTGATAGTTATGCTTCAAAACACAAATTAGTTATCCTAATTTAAAACACGCATGCCATTTATATCCTTGCCTTCTCATGGTCTGACTTAAAGTATAAATATTTAAGTTTCCAAGTATAATTTCAAAACTAGCAAGAAAAAAAAAAATCTTTATTGGTATTCTGCAACAGGATCTGGACTCCACAAAAAGCCAGAACATGAATCTGGCTTCGCAAATCTGAACACAAGCAAAATAGCGTCCTTGTTAGACAACAGACGCACCAGAATAAACTTGAAGTTAACATACAGTAAAGATTACTGAGGTCTTGTATAGATTTTCAAATCAAACCAAACAAATTTCACAAGCCTCTACTCTGCTTGTGGAAGCAGCATGTGCTTAGGATCATCAAACCTCAAGTTTCAAAACAATTCTATTTTAGTTGCTGAAATTTTCAGACAATAAACCTACCCCCAACACTTTGGTGCCTCCTCTTCTTGCATTCATTAGGAGATTCATTTTCACCGTCTTCATGGCCCCACAGTGAGGGAGTAGATTGAAAGGCATCAACACCTAACATTGCAGGAATCTTTTCCAAGATGAATTCTGGTACTTGTCCTGAATTAGTTGAGAAATATTTTTTTTTAAGCTATTTTAGAAGTTGAAAAGCTGTAAACAAGTATGTCAAACAACATTTTGATAAACATTTATCATCTTACCAATTTCTGCTGCGTGGTCAATAAGTGTTTGCACAACACCAGCTTGCAAGCGAATTTTTTTTCCTGTACTGGCTGACATCTTTTCATTTTCATTCGAGTGCAAGAGATTGGGAGCAAAAATCACTGCCAGATTACTGCTATCCATTCTGTTTTCATTTGATCTTAACAAGAAAAATTTCACATAAATTATCAGCACATAAACAATGGAGAGAGAGAGAGAGAGAACACTAAATAAGACCAATAGAGTGTGTGTGGGGGGAAGTGGACTCATTCATGTGACTGTTTACGTACTGAGAATAGTATGTGTAGACTTACACACCCCAGGCTAAGTAACCACATAACTATGTTATTTAAATCAAGAGGTTATAGACCGTGGTTAGTTCTGGGGAATGCAAGGCACTACTTAGATGGCGTTTTTTTGTCTCTAAATTGGAGACATCAATTTGATAGATGGACCACTCAGTGGATAAAGAACTGGCTGGATAGCCACACAGAGTTGCGGTAAACGGTTCAATGTCCAGCTGGAGACCAGTAACGAGTGGTGTCCCTCAGGGATTGGTGTTGGGACCCATCTTGTTCAATATGTTTGTCAGTGACATGGACAGTGGGATTGAGTGCACCCTCAGCAAGTTTGCTGACGACACCAAGCTGTGTGGCTCGGTTGATACGCTGGAGGGAAGGGATGCCATCCAGAGGGACCTTGATGTGCTTGTGAGGTGGGCCGACGTCAACCTTACGAAGTTTAACCAAGCCAAGAGCAAGGTCCTACACCTGGGTCAGCACAACCCCAGGCACAGCTACAGGCTGGGCAGAGAAGAGATTCAGAGCAGCCCTGCGGAGAAGGACTTGGGGGTGGTGGTGGATGAGAAGCTTGACGTAAGCCGGCTTCAGTGTGTGCTTGCAGCACAGAAAGCCAACCATATCCTGGGCTGCATCAAAAGAAGTGTGATCAGCAGGTCAAAGGAGGTGATCCTGCCCCTCTACTCTGCTCTTGTGAGACCTCACTTGGAGTATTGTGTACAGTTCTGGTGTCCTCAGCATAAAAAAAGACATGGAGCTGTTGGAGCAAGTCCAGAGGAGGGCCACAAGGATGATAAGAGGACTGGAGCACCTCCCTTACGAAGACAGGCTGAGAAAGTTGGGGCTGTTCAGTCTGGAAAAGAGAAGACTGCATGGATACCTCATAGCAGCCTTCCAATATCTGAAGGGGGCCTACAAGGATGCTGGGGAGGGACTCTTCATTAGGGACTGTAGTGGTAGGGCAAGGGGAAAGGGGTTTAACTTAAACAGGGGGAGGT